ATTATTAAAGAATCTGCAATAAATGACCTTTTTATAATTAAATCTCAAGTTATATTTTTCAATTTTCGTAAGAAAATATGAGGAATTTCGGTTTTTAAGTCATGTTTTAACAAACATATTTGAAAAAAAGCATTTTGAAACAAAATGTATTTTTTTAATCTCTCGATATTAGATAACTCGTTTAACTACTATGACAAACTTGATAAATGAAAAATACTTCCGTGATGCTGTCAAAAATGTAATTATTTCAAATAATGCATAACAAATATCTTTGAGAATATTTTTCTATGAATACGAGGTAATGGCTGGACATAGCATACTTCAGGTAGACGCGCAGATAATGGAAAAATCTGTATTCCTTCGTTTAATAACTTTAAATTTTCATCAATTTACTAAAAAATAAAGTTAACTTTAAAAAACAACAACATCAGTAGCATTTTTATTTATGTAGGATAGGAATTTAAAAGCAAACAATAATCTTTGATTCTTAGGGAATGTTTCTGTCTTTTCGTCATATTATCCTCATCAGTAGTATGTTAACACGGATCCGTCAGATCCAGATCTTTCCTTTTTTTGCGCCAGAGTTACATTAGAGCAATGATCACCTTGCTTTAGTACGCTTTGTTTTGATCTTTTACCGTTAAATTCTGCATTTCATTCGTCTGTAACTATATTAAAATTTAACACTACCTATCTTCTTCTAATATTCATAGAAGAAACTAGATTTTGACAAAGTTAGGTGTTTGTTTTATACCATTGTAATCTCGTCGTTCATCACACGAGGACACAGTTTCTTCTTTCAACATCCTTTTTTACCATTATTGTCCTTCAATTTTTTTGAACTTACTGACTAAAGTCTTTGATCTTGAACTCCCTTTAAATTTTTGCTCTTGAACTTTCTTTATCATCGCAATAGCACGAATATTTACTAAAGAAAAAGCTTCTATCTATTCTTTTCATAATTAGTTAATCTCTTTACCTTTGGCAATTTTCACAACAAGCACCAAAACTTCGAAAAAATACATAGCAAAAATGCCTGGCAAATTTGCAAATACAAGTGTTTTTACGATCTTCGTAGTTGCCTAAATATTACTAGTGGCCTCAGTTGCCTAAATCTTACTAGTGGCCGTAGTTGATTAAATATAAAGTTTTTACTCAGGCTAAAATACTAATTTTGAGCATAAATTTTTTTTCTGAAAATTACGTGATTACAAATCTTGTATGTAATATCATTTCTTTATAATATGCTTTAAGAATTAAATAAAAGGGATTTAAATTGTATTTTTCGATTTTTTTAAATGTTTTTACTAGTCTGAAAGTTTCCACTCAGACGGTACTTCATGTTGTATTCCATTAGGCATACTACAATTGATTAGTAATTTTCTGGGCACTTAATAGTATTTTTTCATAGAATTGTTTTCAGGATGTTTCGTAAAGACTACTACTTGGATAAATTTCTTGAATTCTTGTCATAAAAATGTAGGGGAAAAAAAAGGATCACAAATTAACACATTAGGGGAGAAAAAGAAAATCAAAACATGATCAATCATCAATTGAGAAGGTGAGATTAAAAATGTATGCTTATTTGCCGAAAAAAAAACATAGTGTAATTGAAGGACACTTCAAACAAATTCGGCAATCAAACTGGTTTTAAAGTTTTAATTCCGTTTATCTTAATAGTGATTCTCACTACTTTCTTATCGTTTTTCCCTGCTTTTAAATGGCAGTTTGAGATTTCTAATTTGTATATTTTTTTAAACTTAATTCTTAAAGATGATTCTAAAATTATATATGAGGATGTAGATTACGGAACACTCTGCATCATAGAATCAAGATGTTTCAGTTTTCATAAGTATATATTGAATGTTAGTAAAAGATATTGATTTGATTGTGAAATATAATTTTCTTCTGTTTGATATCATGTTTTTGTCATACATTAAGATATATATATATCTAAAATAAGGGCAAGGGTAATATTTTTGTCTTTTTCTCAAGAAACTTGAAAATAACAGTTTCAAGTATGGTCCCCCCCCCCCAATAAATTTTATCTGACAACGCCAATGATCTGCATAGTTTTAAAAAGAATCTAAAATTGTGCAATTTCCTTCTCATCTTTTGCACATTAATACCAGGGTTTGTTGATTTAAATCAACTGATTTTATACATATATATATATATTGATTTAAAAAGTTAAAAAACAGTGTTTCAAATTATTGATACTTTTATTATTTATTTTCTAAGTTTCAAAATAAATTTTAAATAAATTGCTGCATTAGTTTGAAAATTTGTTATTGCTGCATTAATTAATTTTAGTTGACGAAATTACTTTCCTGGTGTGTGTTAAATTCCAACACATTTGAAATTACATTTTTAAAAATCTTTTGATTCCTGAGATTGAAAGTACAGATTAAAGTAAACATGCAATATGTGAAATACAGATCCGATCTACGAAGCAACCATCTCTATCACGTGATTTCAAGGACAATAACACTTACATTTCCTTCACTTGTACACCATGTAGATGGAATCAGTTGGAATGACTGGCTCGAGAAGGACGCCAGCAGAAATTGTAGCTTATTCTTGTTAATATATTTTATTAAGTTTAGCGTATCTCCTTTTATTTAAAACCCTCTCTTCACCCCCTTTATTCCACATAATATGTTTACAGTATCTTTGACATTATCAGATTTTCTATAACGAAATTCTGTGGAGAAAAAAATTTCAATCAGTACATAGATTTGGAAATTTTTCTTTTAGCTTAACTTATTTATTTTGATTTAGGATTAAAAATGAATATTTTAATATAAAAATATATAGATTAAATATTTATTTATTTTTTTTACGTATGACTACATTTATAAAAGCAATCTGCAACATTTATTTTGTCATTTCAAAAATCAAGAGAAAAAAAAAAGAGATAGCAATTTAAAATTAAAACTATGGTTTGGTAATAAAAACTTTGTTTTAATAGTTAAAGTATTCTTTAACTTCTCTATTTCATCTAGTCTTTAAATTTTAATCATGCATTTGTTTCAAAATGGTTGCTATTCATTCAAAACTATGTATTATATTGAAAAATTGCTTTAGGTAGTTAGAGCTTTTTAAATATTCTTATAATATAACATTAATATTAATTTAGTTTTGATTAAACATTTATAAAGTTTTTTTAATCATAAATCAAAGTTCTTACAGCGTATTTGAATAAAAATCAGAAATATCTGATTTAAATTAAAAAAATGTGATTTTTTTTTTAAATAAAAAAAAAATCACGAACCCTGATTAATACAAAAGAGTTGAAAAAATAATCATGTAAAAAGACCTCAAATATTTTATCTTATTTTTTGATGTTTAATTTCCACACCAATAATAATACTTCCTTTTTTGACAAGTGATGCGGCCAATGACATTATTTTATTGTAAAATTAAAATGCTGAAGTAGGTGATATAAATGGACTAGACAATGACTATTTAAAATAAAATAAATAAATAGCACAATGTTTAAGCAATTATTTTGACATTTTTAAGGCATACTATTATCAGGGGGCTCTCCAGACATTTTGTGAAAGGTCTGTTTCTGCAAAATTGTGAAAAAAATGACTCGTAATTTGTGAATATAAAATAAACGTTAAGTCACATTCTTTCAACCAGGGTCCCGCTTTTGTGAATTTGTGCAAATAGGGTCCGTTATTACAAAACTTTTTTTTTAAGGAGTTTTTAAATTGTAAATAGATACAAGATTATGCTCAACACTGTAAAATTATAATTAAAAAAAATTAAATTTTAAGAGGGAAACAGCCATTGCTGCTATTGGAGATGCAACATACATATATTTGGTATTTAGCCTATACTGCTGAACGCAGAATATATACATTTTGGAAGAATAAAGGAAGAAGAGTCTGTCGAAGACAAAATTTAGTTCGTTTACATCTGTCTTTCTCCCCCCACCCCCTGGAAAGGGTTTATTCCATTAACAAAACAATAATGAATATAAACAAATTTGTGAAGGGTCCGATTATTAGATAAATTCTTTGGTGAAGGGTCCATTAAGAAACAGACCCCTGATTATCACCCATTGAAGTCTACAATAGTTTTCATGTTACATCTCATAGTTTTAATAGTTTTCAAGTTACGTTCTTTCTTCGAAACAATTCTTCACTAATAATTTTACATACAATCAGAATTTTTCATGACTTATCAAAGTTACTATTTTTTATAAGTAATCTTGTATAAAAACACAATAAATTTAAAAAAGCATTATAATGGACATTAATTGAAATGATAGGTATAACCAAAACTGTTATACTCTGCATCTGAAAAAAATTAAAAAGAAGATAACTAATTATTGTTAGATATATGTAGTTATTTAAAGCAGTTTTATTTCTTTTTTAAAGTAAGTGTAATACAAAAAGACTAAGCTAAAATTTTAAATTGATAAAATAATAAATAAGAGTTTAAAAGAACAGGATAAAAACATTATATATTTAATAGAGTATGACTATGAATGGGGATTTTGCTACAAATTTAGATATTTGGAACATTGGAACACTGTGAAATTGGGGGAGGGGTGAATTCCATTTTAAAAATTAGATTTTTCGGTGACTTAAACCCATAACTTTCCAAGATTTTTTCTGTAAAAAAATAGTTAAATCATGACAAATTTTGCTTATTATCCAAATTCATGACTTTCCAGGTGTGCTGATACCTTATTCCCCAAAACGAGAAATTCTATGGACTTTGCAAGATTATCCCCAACTTTTATGGAGCAATAAGACGAAAGACTGGGCCAGTCTGTTATGCTCACACGACTGCCACCTTTATATGGGCCATTCTCACAAAAACAGTCATTTTCATGTCCCCAGTATATTTTATGGTTTTACAACTTACGGAAAAAAAATTTCAGGGAAAGTGTCCTTCAGAATGCAGGCTAACAAAAGAATAAAAATAAAATTATCAATATTTATTTTTTATTTATTTCAGGTAATTAAAATACACCAATATGTCATTCACTCACTTGTCCCCACTGTTGATTTAAAAAAAGAAAAAATTGTTTCTGAGATAAAAAAGTGTTTTGAGTGTTTTTTATTTCAGAATATTAAAATATAGAATTAAGAAAATCAATTTTAACTTTAATTTCTGATAAAAATATTAACCTAGCACTATTTTAAACTTTGTCCCTAGTGTTTCGCGTCATTCCCTCACAACAATGTTCTTATCACCTGCAATTTTCTTAGAACAAAAATATTTTAATAAAAACTTCAGCAGTTAACAACTGGCATTATAGAACAAAATTGGAGTATGTTTCCATCTTCAACTAAAAGAAGTTTTACTGTGAAATAAATTTGAATGAATCAAATCTGGTAAAATTTTTGATATTTGTCATTCCCTCATGTCGTTTTTTAGAGTAAAATAAAATTCTTCATCGAGAAAGTGGATAATTATATGTTGCTTTCTTGTATGAATATAATTGTATGTGATTGATTTCAGAACTTAATTAGGCCTAACTGTTATTTTTAAATGTCATTAAATTTGTCATTCCCTCACTAGTGTATAAAGTGAGGGAATGATGCTGAAGTGAGGGAATGACGCTGAAGTGAGGGAATGATTCAAGATGAGTATATTTATTAAATTTCCCAAGTCTTTAAAAACTATTAAGTATATAAAACTAAATTATAATAAATGTTAGATATACTTAATACGTTATCATTTTCAAACTTGAGGTAGCTGTAACTTAGAGAAAACATGTTTTAAAATAAAATATCATTCCCTCACTATTAGCGTCATACCCTCACTTTTTAAACAGTGAAATTAATTAATTTATTTAAATATTAAGTATAATTTATGGGATATATACTTTCTTTATAATGCCATTACATATTTCTATTAATATAAAAAGTTTAAGAGCTTTTTATTCACTTTACTTTTTCGGGATTTTATGAACTGAAAAATGACAGTTTTCGTGAGAATGACCCATATATATATACATATAAATAGCATAATAAATGAAAACAAAAAAACACGAAGAAAATTAAAAGAAAAACAATAAGCATCATTTATTGCGCATAAGCTGAAGTAAATAGAACTCATAAAATAAGTTCAAAATGTAGAGAAAACAAGGGAAAAATTACAGAACAATGAAAAGATAATCTTTTATTTTCCAGATTTTTAAAAAAATTTGTTCTTTTTCTTCCTTTTCTGTTTCTTTTTTTTTTGTTGCAATTTTTATTTTTACTATTATTTTTCTTCCCCCCCCCCCTTTTCCATTGTTCTGTAGTTTTTCCCTTGTTTTCTCTACATTTTTAACTTATATATATCAATATCAAAATGTAATTTGCTACTGAAATGAGAAGTTGCACTTACTTTCAATATCTGTGACAAAATCATTCTGCAAGGATAGTGGAATCAAGGGTTCTGGCAATTTCTCTAGTATAATGATCAGGAGTCTTGCAATGGATGCAATATGGCCAGTACTTTCCAAGGAGGCATCTCCACTAAGTGCAAATTCTTGCATCAATTTCTCAACCAAAGCTTTCTCTTCACCATCCACAAATAAGCATTTTTCATGCATGCCTGGGAGGAAATAACAAAAATAATCTTTAACTCTTGATAGGAAGGTCAATTAAAAAAGTAAGATGAATCTAAAGTTAAAAGATTTATTTGTAAAGCTTAATAACTTCTTTAATAATGGTATGGAGTATGATAAGTTAGAAGATATACAGGGGTGCCAACTACAATTATATATTTGCAATCATTACATTTTCATAGTTGAGATTGCAGTCTTACGTTCGAGTAATAAAAAAACAAGGAGTTCTAAAAATTTCTTAAGTTAAATGAAGTTTTTTAAAAAAACAACAACTTATTAGTGGGAGTAAAAATTAGTGTGGCACGTTTTTTTAATAGTCAAGACTGCATTTATTTTTAATCAAAATGAATTAACAGATTAATCTAAATATTGTCATTGCTGGCTACTACTTTTTCCCACCTCTCAGACAATTTTTGAATTCCATCTCGAAAAAATGTTTCGTCTTTTGAGGCGATCCACGGTAGGGGTAAATTTTTGATTTCTACGAAAGAAGTGAACCGGTGACCTGCCAAATGGTGCTGCATCCGTCGGAACAACCAGTAATCAGAAGGAGCAATGTCTGGTGAATACAGCGGTGTGTAAAATATCCCACTCGAGCGTTTTTAAAATTTTTTTATGACTTTTGCGATATGAGGCTGACCGTTATCCTGCAGAAGAATAACTTCGTCATGTCTTTGCTCGTATTCACCATTCTTGAAACCATTCCCTACATGATTTATCAGTTATAGCATTGTCACCATAAGCTTCTACAAGCATTCGATGCGCTTCAGCTGCACTATTCTCGCAATTAAAGTAGAAACACAAAACCTCCAGGAAATGCTGCTTAGTTACCACAGAATTTGACACATTCAACAAAGTAAAAAACTGGGTTTTTGTCTGAAACTCAAAGAGATATAAACTGAATATTATTGACAGATGTCCAACCTCTCTGAAACCAGCTGTCACTATGAAACATTCATAAAAGCCAGAGCCATCTTTTGCAGATAGACCAAACTAATTTGTACTCTCAATATAATACGATTTCTTCTATTAACAAGGTTTCTAGAGAGAAATACTTTGCCACCTGTGATGTTGTTGCTTTACACTTTAGTTTAGTATAATTTTTTATTTTATTTTGATAAACATTTTTTGTTACCACAGTTACTTTTACACCCTTCATAAATTGATTACTTAAATATCGATTATTTATTATTTAGCTGTAACTGACCTTGCATAATTTTTACCACACTCCCCATGAATCAGCTTTCAATGAAAATTTACTTTTTTAGACATAAAGATTTTTAGCTGTTTTAATTTAGATATGAGCTTTGGATGTAAGTAGAATTTCAAGGATAGTGTGGATAAGTTATTTATAAGCAGGGTTGGCCTTTTGCCGGCAGAAACTGATTTTTGCCATGCCAGTGGCAGAAACTGGTTATAACCGGTAAAAACTAGCAGAAACTAAAAAAACTTCTACATTAGTTCTAGTAATTGCTTAATGACATTTTGTTTAAGTAAACTGAAAAGTGTAACTCCATGTAACTGTAACAAACTTTTTAATTCATTGTTTGTAAATACATATTTTGTTGTATTAAATACAAAGAGTACCGTAAAACCAAGTTTTAAAAAATATGCAATGTCCAGTTTTAAAAAATATGCAATAGATGCATATTTTTATATCACAAATCTTGCTAGTTCTGCTGGATTTGAGAGAATCTTCTCAAATTTCTCGTTCGTGCATAGCAAATTAAGAAATTGTTTAGATTTAGAAACTGCATCAAAACTTGTCTTTTGTTATAGATTACTGCAGAGTGCAAACAATGTAATATTTGATTTTGAATGGTGATACTTTTATAAATAAATTGTACTCTGTTTAACATTTAATTGTTTTTTTCTATGAATTATCCATTGCATGTCAATCTCAGTACTTACTTTTATGTCATTTTTTGCCACAAATGTGTCAGAAAAGGGTTTCTGCCATGCCAGTTTTGACCGGTTTGTACCAGTGGTTTTCACCACCTCGGCAGAAACTTGCCAACCTTGTTTATAAGGTGCAAAAAAAGATTTAAAAAAAAAGAAATGGTACCATGCAACTCAATATAGCTACAGATGCGGGATATAATGAAAGGAATATGTGGGACCACCACAGAAGACTTTTTCAGGAGATCCTCAATGCATATTCCAAAGACAGGTGGTCTGCTCCTTTCTAAGACGCAAAGTTGGTTTTTGTTTTCAGAATCTGATCCCACAATCTCCTAAAAATGAAGTCACACATTAAATGGATGTGGACAAGACTATAAAATAATGTGCAATAATAACACACTATATACCTTTTCTTCTGGAGACAAATTACTTGTTTCATTGCAAAACGGAGCTCTCATGTCTTTCAAATGAAGCACTGTGTTCTAAAGAGAAGAATTCAGTTATTAAAATATACTATAACAATATTTTTTTAAATCCTAAAAACACAAGGACTGTGATACACCGGGAGGCAATGTCTAGATCTGTGATTCTCAACCACTGTGCCAAATGTTAGGAATGATACAATAAAAATTATAATGCTTTTTTTATTATGAGTAAAGTTTACATTAAAGAAGATTGTACATCCATATAATATTATATATATACTTTTTCCACGCTTTAACCGCATGAATATCTTTGTGGACGATTGTCTTGTCTCTGACAATCTTAAAATAAGTTAAGTTAAAATAAGAAGGAAGTGCTTAAATTATCTTTGACACACATTTTAAAAAATGTTGAAATAAGTAGGAAATTTAATGACTATTAAAATTATTAATTAACAAAGGCTAAAACAAGCTAAATACTAACTTTCAAACGGAAATAAGAGCTAATCATTCAAGTAAGCTATGCAATTAATAAACAAATTAACAAAGGATAACTAAAAAACAAATAAATAAAAAACAAATTGACAAAGGATAACTAAAAAAAATATAAGCTAACAATTAATAATTAGCAAAAAAACAAATTAACAAGAAATCATAAAAAATAACAGTTAATGTAAAAAAAAATAACAGTTAATAACTATAGAAAACAAAATACAGTGAATTCGCGATAACTCGAATCTGATAGGACTGACGAAAAACTTCGACATATCGGAAGTTCGACTTACCGTTAGTTTCGGTTTTGGACTTTCAAAATATTGTCGGATTATTTAATTAATGCTTATTAATTACAAATCTTCTAAATGCTTACAATATTTAAG